GCCCCGCGCAGCGCCTCCCAGCCCCGGCGCAGCAGCTCGTAGTGCGGCCACTGCAACATAGCTCGTGAGCCCGGCGCCGCCCGCCATACCGGCCCCGCCACCCGGCCTGATACTTACGAATGCGTACGCCTCGTGCAGTGTTTCGACGACTGCGTAGTCATACATGACCTCACAGAATTCACCCAATAAGTGGTCATCCGCCAGTAAAACGTCGCACCAAGATCTGTCGGTCGAAGCGTCATCGTCGTCGGGCGAGCTCACCTTGTGCGAAAACATGATTCGCAAATAGATCGCTCTCAGAAGGATTTCGTTTGCATAACTGAGAAAGTCCTCCTTGCAAATATCCTTCACGTCCGTGGCGTGCGCGTCCTTGATAATGGCCGCCATGATTTCGTCGTCGTCGAAGATGCAGTTGAGTTGCGCAGTGATGGCGAGATAGCGCAGCGCGCAGTACTGCAGGCGGGGCCGCGGGCCCGCGGGGGGCGCGGCGGCGCGGAACAGGGCCCGGGTGAACTGGACCACGGCGGCCACGTCCACGGGCTCGTCGGCCTCGTCGCAGCGCTCGAACAGGTAAGGGCATAAGCACAATACGTTTTCAATTTCCGTAGTGTCCAAAACACGGCTGCTACTTCTGAAAGAAATACACATTTTATTTTGGTTCCTTAACATCGACACGGTCCCGAACGTAGCTCGGCAAGAATAATATTTCAATAACAAGTGCGTACGTGTACAGTAGGTCACACAGCGCCTGCGCGGCGCCGTGCAGGAAGGGCGCCAGGTCGCGGGGCGCCAGCGCCGCCACGCAGTCCTGCCACGACGAGCGCACCTCGCGCCACGTGCCGCTCGACAGCCCGCCGCCCAGCTGGGACACAACACTACTGCATCCGCTATGCCACTACTCGCTACGGACTATCGCCTAGGGGATTTGAGGCTTAGGGAGATTAGGCCTCCCCCGGCTCCCGTAACCTCACTTATACGACGAAACATAACGTAAAACCAAATAATAAAGTTAATTGAACGGAATTATAAAATATAATTGAATTATAAAATACATATTTTAGTAAAGATACGCGACACTAACCGGGAGGCGCGCGTTGAGTCGCAGCAGCGGCAGCGCCAGACGTGCGGCGCGGCGCGGCTGGGCCGTGGCCAGGCGCGCGCACAGCATGGCGCAGCTCTCCAGCGCCTCGCCCGCCGCCTCCAGCGCCTCGCCCGCCTGGCCATCCGCCTCCAGCGCCTCGCCCGCCTGGCCATCCGCCTCCAGCGCCTCGCCCGCCTGGCCATCCGCCTCCAGCGCCTCGCCCGCC